CTCCATTTAATATAATTTTGATTATTATAACTTTTTAGTTTCTATTTTTTATATATTTAGTAAGTATTACAGTAGTTAAAAATTAAAATTTATTAAATTTAATCTAAATATAGTATGAGTTGTTTAGTCAGCTTGCTACCAAAAACAAAACACTATAGTAAATATCATTTAAGAAAAACTAAGTAGGATAAATTAACTGAGATAAAGGGGAGAGAGAGAGATGAGGGGAACTGAAAGATAGAGGTTAATCCAATGTTTATGTCTGCATAAAGCTAGCCTTCATATGTCTATTCATATCAAAGGAGAGCCTAGTAGATCGCATTAGATTTCATATACATTCTTCACTCCAAAATCCGCTCCCATCATCACATATTACATAATTAATAAGCAATGACCTAAAGTTCCATAATTACTCTTCTTTTTTTTTTTTTTCCCATCAGCTCTAAGATTACTAATACTAAGAGAGAATAACATCTCTAAACCGAGACAACTAGCTAGCTAGAGAAGAACATAACAGTTCAAGACAAAAGAGAGAAGTGAAGAAGATACCCCTAACAGTTTGGTATCTAGCTACTTCTAGAAGGGCGTAACACCCACATTTGCAGGAGCAAAGAAGCCTGCATCTTTCATCAGCATGTCCTCTCCATCCTGCATCCAAAAACCAACCTGCTTCAATTCTATGTTTTAATTAATGAGAAAACGAAAAATTATTAAATAAAGAATTGATAGATAAATTATTGGTTTAAACTATATTAAACTGTAAAATAAAAATTATTTAATAAAGAGATTTCAATATCAAAAACCCAATTTTATATTTAATAATTAATGTCATACAATTCATCAATTAATACAGTTCAGACTACACAATACATTATTCAATTATTAATTACAAGTACCTGAGGGCGTACGTTCGTCTTCTTCACGGGTTGATGATCAGGCATAAGTCCGAAATGTATGTGTGGGAAGTGGGCCCACTGAACAACAGTAGAAGAAAACAAATTACTAACACACATGAGTAATCAAATTACTCCGATAACAATAGACGTAAAAAATAAATTATTCATAAAATTTTAATTAAAAAAATATTTATTAAATATTCTTGGACAAAGGGACTACCATATAAAAATTAATTAAGTGTTATGATTTATTCACCAAAAAAAAAAATTAAGTGTTATGATTTAATTCTAATAAGTCTGTTTATTAGGAATAAGAAAAAGCAGAGCTAGCCAAAATATAGAAGATTCCAGAAAGAAGAAACCCTAGATAGCTACGAAAGACATTCTGAGAGATCTTGGATCTTACATTTTTGGCAGCGGCGCTGAATGCCTCCCTGTGGCTTATATCGGGATTTCCTGCTTTGATGCGTTGAATTTCATCCCTGTACATTTTTTTTATTACAATTTAAAGGATGAATGCATAAATAATATATATATATATATATATGAGATTTGATTAATTTTCTTTTGAATTTTTACTACATGTGTGTGAAGGCTGAATGGGATTGATATATAATTAATAATACTATTAGCAGTACTTACTTAATGAATCGATTGTAAGCAGATGGGACTCTCTGTCTCTTCTCCGGAGCTGGACCAATGGAACACACAGACAAAAGAAAAGACACAATCATTAAAAATCACTAATTCTTCGCTGACTTGTTTCATCGTATAGATTTTAATTTTTGTTTTCCTGATTTCATTTACTAGTAGAAGTACTACAAGTTTCTCTCTCACTATCTTCATCATGACTCCATCATTATCTCTAACTCTCCATCTATATTTCCGGGGGGGAGAAGTATGAATAAGAAGACAAAACTAGGGCTGATGATTAAAAGAAAACAGAGAGAGAAGATAAAGAAAAATGTTTTTTTCAGTTTAATTTCCGGGGTATATATAGGGACTAGCTCTGAGATTTGTGAAGGATCTTTTTCTTTTGTAATGATGGGAATTGGGTGTAGATCTGCTGTAGGGTTGCTGGTAGAGTTGTGGTTGCTCTGTTGCACACATAAATAAAAAACATTGGCTAAGTTTTTGCCTTTATGCAAAAACGAAGAAACCCTAGAAACTATTGAGAAAGTAATCTTGTCCAGTATACTAAAAAGCCTAAGGAAATAGCTACGGTTTGAGAATTGAGATCCGAAAGTTGGGTTTCTCCAAGAAAAATACCTAATTTTGTTGACCCTATGAGGGCATGAAAGAAATTGAAAAGAAGATAAATGAAAACGAAAATGAAGAATCTCACGTCTGTTAACCACAGGCGGTTTGGGGATCTCTTCAACTCCGACTCGAGCTGGCATGAAGGAGTCAAGACTAGGGTTAGGCTGATTGATCAGCATATTTGGCGGTGAACTGCGGATCTCCTCCTGAAAGTGCATTTGGTGAAGTTAAATTTTGGCATAACCAAAGCAGAAAAGGGAAGATTAATATTTATGTAGAGAATAAACCAGAAGATTCTGAGGAGTAAAGAAGGAATGTGGGAGGTGGAGCTGATTGGCAGCAGGAAGGAGGAGGGCACGCATGTTGACGGAGAGGAGGTTGGTGCAGTGGCCGCATCGGACGGTGACAGTCTTGAACAAGCTGCTGCAAGGAACACTCACCTAAAAAATGAACATGTAAAAAAGATAAGATAAAAAAGAACATAATGTGGACAAAATTAAGGGAAAAAGATGAGAGATATGATGATACAGCGAGGACAGTGTCGCAAAAGTTGCAATGGACGTAACAGAGCTGGTCGGAGGGGGAGAGGTGGTCCGGTGAAAAAGCAGGTGATGAAGACGACATGATGATCCTTTTGTGTTAGAGAATGGTGTGTGATTTGATTGATTGATAGCTTGACTGATCGGATTATCTGATGCTTCTTGATTGTTGAGATTTATACTGAAGATATAAAGGTGGGAAGAAGAATGACTAGAAATATACTGAAGATAGAAGAGAGGTAGAAAGGGTTTGGTTTCTCTGTCTAATAATATTATAGGTAGAGAGAGAGCTTGGCTCTTTGCTCATCTCATGCATGTGTAGACATATATGTTTATTGGTGATGTATGTATCATAAATAAACGGACCACTTTAGAAAGAGGGGATGAAATCCATAGCTGAGGTTAAGGGGGGAAAGAAAAGAAAAATGGAAAATGAATGAATGGTTGGCATTCCCAATGGATGTGTTAGGGTTGGTGTTTGTTTATGAGAGAGAGAGAGAGGGGAGGGGCACAGGCGGCAGAGGTGGGGGAGAGGAATCGAGAAAGGGACGTTTGCATGGGAGTGATTAGCTTTGGCTCATTCATCTGTTGTTTTCACACTTAAGAGGCTGTGATGCCTTTTCTTGGTTCTCTACAATTCCACACATGCTTCTCCCCTTCATTAAATATAATTAATTTTTATGTCCTCTACTAACTCTTAAAAATATTTAATTAACTGTCGCTTAATTATTTTTCGTATTTTTTGTATGAGATTTTAAACAATAGTTATATATATATATTTACTATCATTAAATATATGTTAAAAAATATAAATTTAAAATTCAAATAATTGTAAATATTAGATTAATTTAAAAATTGACATGTATTATTTAAATCAATAAAGTATTAAATTTAATTATTAGTTTTTAAAAATATTTATTAAAAATTGATGTTTTTAAAGTTAAGACTTTAATTTTTTAGAAGTTGAGATTGTCATGCAATTTTTTTTATATAAACTAAATCTAGAGTAGTGTTTTTTTTTCTTTTTTTAAAAAAACTCTTTTACTTAAAAAAAAGTAGGTAAACAATGAGATTTTGAAAAACTCATTAAATAAAGGATATAAAAGTAAAAATATAATAGGAGAGTTATTTTCACGTTGATTTACAAGAAAAAAAATGTAAAAATGCCTATGAAATTATTTAAATACTTATAATAAATCAACAATCTGTGTTGATTTATTAATGATATTTCAGTCCTTTTATAAGTATTCTTTCACTTTATTGCTAAAATAGAACTAAAAATTCACATTCCCAAATATTAGGAGCAACAATTTAAAATGACAACAATTAATACTTTAAAATGTGACAATAATGAGTGACAAAACCAAGGAAAGATATTAGGTAGCGTCTTTTTCTTTTCAATCTTAACTTTAGATTCCTCTTTTTTTTTCTTCCTCTTCTTCTTCTTCTTTTTTTTTTTGGTATAATGAGATTTAGGTAAGGTCGTCCTTACCATTTTTCCCCCTACAACCTCAGTCCTACATTTCTTTCTATTTCTAAATTTTTTTGAGAGTTGGGGTAGGGCTCATCAAATGCCCAACCCCACTGCATGTGCAAAGTTAAATTTTGACTACTAAGTAAATTTAAACAAAAGGTAGGTGTCGTGTGGTTAGGTAATCTTACCCTTGAGTCAGTTGAATGCATTAAACAAAGTTTATTCTTTTTTTCTACTCAAGTAGATTATCCACAATATTATTAATCAAAATCGTGAAGAATAACTTCCTAATGATCTTAGAATAAAACTTGACAATAAGGTGAAAGAACAATCTCTATTTCTGGCTTAGATGGTGTTTGGATGAAATATATATTAACAATATTGTAGAAGATATTTCAATTATAACATTAGAGAATAACTTCCTTCTGATCTTATCTAAGAATTTTTTTTTTTTTTTTTTTGACAATAGGCAATGGAGATCTTATCTAAGACTCATCAATATTTTTTTTTTTTTTTTTTTGACAATAGGCAATGGAGATCTTATCTAAGACTCATCAATAAGGTGAAGAACAAACTCCATTTCCAACTTACATTGTGTTTGGATGAAAATAATAACTATATTGTAGAAGACATTTCATCATAACAGGAAAGAATATTGTAGGACTAGTTGTATGGAAATTGTGGGATATGTAAGTGGTTGACCTTTTATTATTATTATTATTATTATTATTATTATCAACAAATGATAAAATCTATTACTTAAAGTAGAAGAAGTACTCCGACACATCTACAAATTTTACTCACACCATTTTACAGCAACAAGTCAAACATGTCTCAAAACAACACAACTATTAAACACTATATATTGAGGATGAACACATGGGTGCGGTTATTGCTACACAATAATGTTATGGCCACACAAATTTAATGTCTCTTTTTTTAAATAGTTGATTACATATGGTGTTTGAAAACATTAGCATATAGACTAATTTTAATTTGTTAACTAATAAATATTAATTATTCTATTATTTATTAGCTAACGACTATAGCTATGAGATGTTTCTAATCATTAAAATCAAAACAAAACCAATATTTTTAAAGACCATATTAAAAATTTTGTGTAGCCATAACTATGCCCTGAACACATGCCCCTCCCAAAACTAAAAGAACTAAGAGCTAGAAGAATTAAACCACCTGAACTAAGAACTACATACGTTTAGTTGACTTTTATGATTGAATTATAAAATGATGGAGTACCCCTTTTACTCCATACTCTGTATATATGTAAATACTTAATCAAAAATCTTTTAAAGTTGGAGAAGGATTTAGGGTTAATGAATAAGGTGTTGAGACAGAGAAGGAGCATTTTAATTATGTGTTATTATTCTTTTAGGAACTTTTTTTGGCCTAATAATAGTCCCTATCTTAACAAAAGGCTTAACATGTCACACGCATCCTAGCTACCCTTATACATACCCACTATGACTTGGAATGAGTACTCTTTCATATTGATTCTAGTTTTGCGTTTGATCAAAGGTCTAGCTAGTTAATTTGTCTTACAAAGAAACCAGTTTGTGATTAGTTAAGGATATTCTTACTTTGTAAAAAGGCAGCAGCTTTCACTACACCATCATATATAGCTAGGGTTTGGGTGGTTCCAGATGCCAAGAAAGAAAAAAAGAGCAACACACTTGTTCACTTTCTCAGAGAATTCACAGCCATTGCCAATGCCAAAGTTAACAAATGATAAACAAACAAAATCTCATAAGTTAGCTTTTACATTTACCGATTTGACCACTCAGACATGATCTCTATCTCTTACATCTACAGAGATACGTAGTTGTCAGTGACAACAGAAGACAGAGATCCTTTAATCAAAACTATTTACTTTTCTTGTCCTTTACAAACATGTTTAATTTTTAATTGTTTTTCCTTTCAAGTAGTATTTCCTTTTGGCGGAAGATCAGTTTAGCTCAATTTCGTTAGGGCCTTCACCTTAGCTACAGTACTAGTATATCTCATCTGCGGGCAAAGGGCTTACTTTTTTCTTGCAAAATTTAAAAAAAGAAAAAGAAAGACCCATATATATAACCCTAAAAACTTTACTGAAAAAGATGGCCGTCGTTTCTCAAACATTTTGAAAAACTATCACCATCCATCCACAATGCATGTGTGCAAAAGGGTTTCCATCTCGCCAGTCCCCAGAATTGGCCTTTAAAGGTGAAAGTTTAGATGACCTAGTTACAAATGACCGTGGGTCCTGTTTAAGCCCTTGGGGAGGGATCATCAGGGGATGGAGCAGCACCTTAAAATTAGGGCTGGGCTGGGCAGGGCAGGGCAGGGCAGGGCATCAGTGGGTTAACGTTGGCAGGGGCAGCATGCATCATGTGTAGTCAGCTGTGCTGTGTGTGCAAGCGTGTTTTTGCTATCAATTAAATGTTGTCTGGTTGTGTGTTATACGGTGCGTTTGGAAGCACACCCAATTAAGAAAGAAAAATGAAGCATGTGGTACAATATTAGCTGCCAGCAAGTTGTCTTGTCACTGATGATTTCCATCATTCCTTACTAATTTCCTTAGATCCTTTGGTGGGATGATTTGCAGTTCCCTTTCCTTACCCGTCAATTGTTCCGAACATTAATATACCAGTAAAAGCACCAAAAGTAGTAGTAGTAGTAGAAGAAAAAAACTCCAGTAAATTAAGCTTATTTAGAAAAATATATAGGCTTCAATTTGTTCCTCTATGGAAATTAAAAGCACTATTCTTTTAAATAAAAAATATATATATTAATAGAAACATGTCTGAATTAATTAATGTCCCTAGCTAGCAAAAAAAAGATTAATGAATAGCAGGTTGCGCAAGTACTAGAAATTATATATCCAGTGGCAAACATATAGGAGTCCTGTATATATGTAAGATTAATAAAGGAGACAGAAGATGATATTGAGATATAAGGCTTTGACATATGTAAGAGCATCTTCGTGTAGTACATTCGAATTGATTGTGGACACAGATAGAGATTGGTCCCGAAGGTATTGTGGACACAGATAGAGATTGGTCCCAATTAAGGACGCATGATTGATTCTATCATGTATGCTACAAGGAGACTTTCCATTTGACAAAACAATATGGCCTACCGTTTATATGATCTGGTACATATGTATGTCTTACTGTTTCTTCAAATTTCTTCCATGTGCCACATCGTACGTGTTCAACTCTTCATGATCATGACTCATGACTGATGAATCATTGATATTTAAGTATGATTTGCTTTAATCAAAACCAATCATCAAACTATCATCTTCGAATCATTCAGAAAAAGCTAGTCTAGACAATCAACAAGTGTTCTGAGAAACTTAATTTCTCTGAAAAAGACTTGAGAGTTTTCCTTACTGAAAACTCACACCTACCTGCATTTAACTTATGGAACATTTTTCTGACTTCTTCGAGCAACGAGGTCATCAAAAAAGACAAAGATGACACGATTCTCTGGATTTTGCAATAGAGAGGTTAGGATCTGAGAATATAACAACAAAATCGGAGACCAAGAAACATACAAATTGATAATTAAATATATAGTGTTAAAGTCTGACTTCTGTATATATATATAATTTCTTTTTTTGTTTTTTTAAACATAGGGGAATTTTGAAGAATGGGTAATATTTTTTCAAGTTATTGCTGGAGTCAAATTTCAAATTAATTAAATTTAAGTATTAAGGATTAAAAAAACAATTAAATCTGAAAATACAGTCCATATATACAATTTCTATTATTTGTTGTGTACAGGAAAAATATATGAAATTTATCAGGTGAGGTTTGAAAAGGGTGGTGGTGGAAGTACAGAGACGCAGCCTGCTAGATATGGCAGCTACTGTAAAAGCCTGTGGAAGCTCTATATCGCTGTTTATGGTGGTGGGGTAGACTTGGGAAGTTCAACATAAAATGACATTAATAGGGGGTTAGGTTAGGGTTTCGTAGGTAGGGTGAACAGTATTGCTGTAACGCCAAAGTACGAACCAACTCAACACCTCCTCAATTCTATGCATAGACGGACGGCACGGCCCCTCCCTCAGCCTCAAGGCTCAAAGCCTGTAGCCTCGGGCCACGTTTGCCACCCAAGGCTTTGAGACTAGGATCCGTCTCTGGTTTTTTTTTTGCTTAACACTGCCCGCCTGTGTACTGCCTCTTAGATATGGTCTCCATTTCAGCTGGTTATCCCCTACTATTAGGGCTTTACCGCAGCTAGCAGGGCTCTAGGTTGGTTTTCCCCCTTTTTTTTTTTTTAACTGCGGTTGGTTTTTCATTTTTTTGGATACATTAGGGAAGTGTTAGAGCATATACAATATTACAATATTTCTACCAAAAAAAAAAAAGAGCATGTACAATATTACAATAGAAACAATGAAAGAGCTTATTTTAGTATTATATTATCATGATTAATATTATTTTATATAAAATTAATATTTTTATATATTTAATTTTAAAATTGAAAACTTAATAATATATATTTTTTATGATATGTTTTAATAAAATTTTTAAAAAGTTATATTAATAGTATTTTATTTAATTCATTTCAAAAACTTTAAATCAAATTTTTTAAAAGATAAAATATCAGCCATTTGTTCATTTGATCCAACGGCATTGAGTTACGGAGTTGCACCGCCTGACAACGTGTCAGGCAGTACAATTCACAAGACCTTTACAATGTTTTACAATAATAATAATAATAAACTGTTTTTTTTTTAACAGAGATAACTCTCTTTACTAATGATTTAATAATTCTAGCGAAAAAGGGATTAATTTGTTTTTAAATAAAAATTTGATTTTAAATCTTATAAATAAAATCTAACATCACTTATAAATATTAAATATATATAAAATAAGACAACTCTCTCTTATAATAAAATTTTAATGGATTAAAATTCTATCTCTATTCTATATTTGAAGAAAATAAAAAAAAAAAACCTCTCATTATACATGTTCTTAATATGATTAGTATTATACCTAAAAGATACGCTTAACTAATTAAAAACTTAAAACTCCATCTAGAGATGTGGATTTATGACCCTAACAACACAAGTAAGGTTAAAGAATGA